AGCATTTATGGAATTTAATCGCAATTCCAGTTATGTTATTGCCGGGTCTGACCCAGTTAAAAAGAAATTTAGTTTTTATTTTTATTTTAATTGTCTTTTATTCAAAAAATTAAAAGGAGATCGCTTAATGGCGTAACTAAAAATTCAGTTTTTATTGTTGCGCGCTTAAGAAACCATGGAAATATAGTCTTTGTTGGATAAATTTCGTATGTCATGACATTGCACATAGTTTAATGGAATAATAAAAAATATTTGATATCAATATTATTTATTTCATGATGTAATAACAATAGTAGTTAAATCTACAATATGTAAATTAAAAATCATTAATATATATATATATATATATATGTATATATTAACTATTTTATAACCTCAATTTGAAAAGTATTATTTTAAACAAATACATTAAATTATTTTTTGTTCAACCTCAATTTCAACCATAATTTTAGCCAAACATATATTTTTCCAAACTAATCTCAACTAAAAGTACTTTTTATAAAATAATTTTTTGTAAACCACAACCACAACAACAACCTCAATACCAAACGCACAAAAAAGGGTTAGTTTATTAAACAATTTAATATTTTATTTTAATTCATCTCTATTTTTTTCAAAAAAAAAATAATAATAGCCTAGGCATGCTGTTCTCTCTCAAGCCACACGCATGTGCTTTTTTTATTAGATATTTATGGTTTTTTTGGCCCCTTTTCATTTTTTAAATTTTATTAATTAATATGGAGTTTTTAATTCATTTTAAGTTTTTTAACTATTTTTTTAATATGGATTTTTATATAAAAAAATATTCTAATTTTATCATTTGATTTGAGATTTTTATTTAATTTTTATTTTTCAATATTAAATTTATTTTTTTCTTTGAATCTACTAAGTAAACAAGATTTTTACATAATTTAATTTAAAAATTGAGCTAAACAAACAAATAGTCAGCTTAAAATTTTTTAAATCTTAAGCTTAAACCACTTTAACGAGTTTTAGGACATTGTCGAAAAGCTTTCAACAATCTAAATATCATTTTTCTATGTACAATTTTTTTTTATCTAAGCCGCAGCAAGAGTGCTATCAATAAACTAGTAATTATTTAAAAAAAATCATTTATTAATATCAATATCTATTGAATTCAAATTACATTATATATTTACTTGTTTCTTTGTATCCAACAAAAATTTCCATACCAAAATACAAGTATTGAAACCCTTACAGTCTTTGGTTCATACATTTTCAATAGTATTAATTGAAGTTATTGAGAGCCTTGAGACCTAGTATAATTCTTAGATGTTATTACCAGTGTTAATAAACTATCTCGAAATGTTATTACTAATTATGAAACGGACCTTGTACAAACCATTTCTTACAATTCTAACAATAGCACTAGGATGATGAAGCAGTAGTGAAGCTTTCATTTATTTTTATTCTTTTTGTTTTCGAAATTTCAACGACTTAAATCGATCAAGAAGCACAGGACCTTACATCAGTGAGAATGGAGGGTTTCGCACCTTCTGGAACATGTCCCATTAAAAACAAGTTCATGACTAGAGAATATGGCCAAGTTTACAGCAGCTTAGTTATGAACACATGAAAAAGACTGTAAAGGAGAAACTAAAACAAAGATGTCTCCAGCCATGATGTCAATGTAGCTGTCAGAATGGTTGGAACTAAAACACGTCTCCAGCAATGATGTCAATGTAGCTGTCAGAATGGTTCTGGTGAATGAGAACAGAGACGAGTTGCTTACAGCCTCAAGAAAAATATATATCTCTGAACCCCCAGGGCGGTCGCTAATTGAATGCCATACAAAGCACCACAAGCTTCGCCTAGGAGAATCGAATGCTGCTGCCTCGTAATTTTCTGAGCACTAACCATAGCTTGAACAGCATAGCCTCCGATAACCACCCCCAGGCCACATCCTGGTGGTTATAAGGAAGGAAGCATCAGTATTGATCTTGAAGACATCTACAGGAGAAGGAAGCCAAGTCGAGTCCTCTCTAGAGACTCAGGAATCTGCACCTTTCTACATGAATCAGCTGCGTCTATCAGCATCCTCCACAAGATTATTTTCTACCTAGCTAGAGACATAGGTGTCAACTGGGGAATTATGTGGTTTATTCGATCGAATTAATTAATGAACTGTCAAACTTACTGTAAGTGAGACTAATTACACCCTTTTTTCTGCAGTTATATTATCCCTCCCGTAGCCATGATCAAAAAACACTGCGGGCGTGCATCACATTAACCTAATATAATCATATATATTGAATGTGTTTAATATTATGCTGACTGTTATGACTATGGTTTAAAAAATAGTTTTATAAAAAGAGTTTTTAATTATAATTAATTTGAAAAAATATATATTTGGTTAAATTAATAATTGAAATTTAGGTTAAATAAAAAATAATTTAATATATTTAGTTAAAAATTATAGTTCAATTTGATGTTGAGGTATAATTACCTAGAAAGACTTCATTCATAATATTGATAAACAATTACATAAAAAGTAATCTTACAACCAATAAAATTTTGCAAAAAGACCTAAATATATTAGAACAATATTTTATAATTGTGTTATTAAACTTGTAACACTCTCATCACATACGTAATCCATTCGTGAAGGCCTGTGGTGTCCTTGCATTTGTGCATGTGAAGCCATGTCAATTAGAAAATCATCAGGTATAAAATCAGGATAATGATCGAACTCCATAAGTGCTATATCTTGCGTTGAAGTTCTTCTAATATAATTATGAATTGCCATGGATGCGACAACAATTTTAACTAGTGCTTGTAATTAAAGGATGACATATTCTGTAGGATTCGTCATTTATTTTTCAAACTCCAAATGTACATTCTATCATACAACGTAATGAAGAGTACACATGATTGAAAATTTCTTCATGATTTTGTGGTTGTCCTCGTCTCTTAAATTCTTGCAAATGATATCTCTGACCTCTATATTGACCTAAAAATTCATATTCATTAGGATATCTCGAATCAACCAAGTAGTATTTCCCTGTAAATACATTTACTTTTTATAAATTGAAAAATAAAAAAAATAAACATTAATTATCACACACACACACACGTTTCTACTTTCTGGTGGCTTACAAATTTTTATACGTGGATTGTCAATTACCTCAAGAAAAATTCTTGTATTGTGTGCATTACTTGGGTTGGCACACATTTTCTTCTGATAAATGAAATTTGATTTTCTGAAGAAACACGTGCATGCATATATGTATTGTCGATAGCTTCTACACAATTTTAATATATGAGAAACCATCACAATCATCAATTTAAGTTGACTAAAAAAATAAATTTTATGAATTAATTTAATGCGAAGCACTATCAATAAATACGATTAATGACATTACTTTGAAATGTGGAATATACCTTGGATTGTTCATAATTTTACACGGTGTGTTTACAAACACAGGATCTGCAAGTTGTATTTAATCTATAACGAGCGAACAAACCGATTTAAGAACTTAATTAAAGTATCTACTAATAGTTTCTTTTGAATGTTGAAATCTCTCTTGAACTTCCTTGTTGGAAGCACCCGGAGCTATTGTATAAAGAAATATTCCAACTTTTTCAAAAACACACATTCTTCTAGATGCTTTTAACTCATATTGGTTTTCATATTGAAAGCAAAGACTCTGAAATGTCATCATATCCATCATAAACATGTTTACATAGCGGGTCCAATATCCATATAATATTTTGTTCAACCATTGCATTCCAGTATTGTACAAATCCATATAGGGTTCCTTATATATATAAGTGTTATAATATAATGCTAAGGCACCTAATTTTTGACGATCAAACTCTATTTTCCAAAACAATTCGCCTTCTTCATTTGACGCGTTATCATCATCATCGTCGTTGTCATTATCAGAACTGTGATTGCCACTGGAATCTCCATTGTTAACAGAAGAATTACTATAATTAATGTAATTATTTGCGTTATTCATTACATCATCATAACCCCTCTCAAAAAGTGCTAAAAACCAGTGCGAATCCATATTTATCATGACATATAATTTTTTTGTGAATTATTGAAAATGTTAAGACTTGTTAAAAAATACAAACAAATTATAAAGACTGAAATACTATATTGTTCTTTACGTTTAATGTTGTTCTATAAAATGAAAGAAGATGTTGATATTAACAAACGACTATTGGAAGTGATACGTCTATATGTGGCAAGGCTTTCTACACTTAGACTTCTCCATAATAGAGACTATCAAACAATATGACTTGATAAATTACAAATTCATTCAATTTTCTACATTGTGTTAACACTAGTATGTTAATGTTATTGCTTTCCTTTATTCAATAAATTTTTAGGCAATAACAACATTTCTTTCAATGTACATTTTGGAGTGCCACGATGGCAATTAAAATGCCCAACAATTTCATGAATAAAAGTAGTTAGAAAAAAGGGAAAATTAGCATCTATTTGGAAATGTACATTAGTTCTACATGGTACATTAATGACAAAAAAAACAAACAAACAAATGAACTATATTATCCACTAGTGATGGCCCCAAATGTTTTCTAGGCATCCATTTTCAACATGAATATATACCTTCAAATATCATAAAAATAAGAAAAAAAAAGCTAACTATTCAAATTTATATAGTTAAAGGAATGTTTATAAAGGCCAACATAAAAGCCATGATTTTCTACCCCTTCACTCTCCTAATGAACAGTATAAAACAAGCATTTACAAACCAGTGAAGGCAATTTTATATATAATGAATTGCATAACATTGAAAGCAATGGGCTGCAACTAATAATTAATAAAAAGCAACTTACATTTTAAAGATGTAGAAATATCAACAATGCATCAACATATACCTGTTGTTACTTAGCATATGTGGGAACAGTAACAAAAATTATCTAACAGAAAATTGCTTAATAAAAAACTGTAAGCAGTATATGGAAACAAAATGCAAAGACATAAAAGCTAAGGGCATAAACCCTAGGGTATTGGAAGAAATATGGCAATGTCATACCGAAGCTGCTGCGCGCGTAGTCATTGTACGTTCAACAACCACAGGAGCAAGGGTGGGTTCAACAGCTGATGTATGTGTTAGACAGGGCTCAAGATCAATGGTTCCACCTCCTTTCTGAAATAAACAAGATAACAGAAACAAGCATGATTAAAGGCTGTCCATTAGGGAGGAAAAAAAACAACAAACAGCAAAAGCAGCAAGAGATATTAGTTAAGATTGGTAATAGCAATGTGATTATAATACCCTCTAGATCCAGGAAAAATGAAACTACAGACATTTCTGATGTCCTTGATAAATTGCAGAGAAAAATAGACTAAAATTGTGAAAATTGTTCAACCACCTTCACAATGCAGCAACGCTCAACACGGTAACTACAACCGATTCCAGCTCCCCAAGCACGTGAGCGAACATTATTTCTCAGCATAGATGTGTAGCCTAATGCACATGTCAAAGTTAAAGTGTCAAAAGTAGAGCATAAATGGTAATGACACACGAGGAGAAATGCAATACTAGCAAGACAAACATAAGCAAGTACTTCATTTAGGTTTCTTATATAGCTATATACTACTAAAATAAGTATTTTCTTTTGACATTTGAAATTTGACAAAGAACACAATCAAGTATGTCAAATTTTTGTAAAGAGATTTAGTTATCTTGTTGGGAATGTTACTTTGCACCCTTGTGATTCACTTGTTCAAATATAGATATGGATTAATGCATACCAGATTGACATCGCAAAATCAATAGTACTATGCCAATTCACTACACCATTTCAATGTTGACTAGGCTTCAACCAAAATCCAAAATTCTCAATCCACTATATGATTTCACTGTTTAACTCTTAATGTTTTAAATTTTATCTGACAAACTTTCTAACGTAAAAGGTCAACAAACAACACAAAATTCATTCTGAAGAGAAACATATACACACAAAAGCTTAAACAGGTAGCTGTATCCAAATATGTAACATTTATATGTACAAATTATTTGAATGCATTATGATGCGAATGATGTTTAGAAAAGCAGTATCATAAAGTACGATAGACAAAAAGGACTTACTATCTTGTGGAGGCAACACTCTTATAGTAGCACATAACTCTTGGATGGCAGGTGGAGGAGGAGAAGCAGTGGGACGGCAGTAGCCTGTATGCATGAGAACTGCAACAAAGTTGCATCAACAATATTGTTTCTGTTCACATATCAACAAATTCTACAATTACTACTGTTCATCATATCACACATACCAGCAACAAGATCCGAATCATCTGTGTATATATCCGTCCCCCATAATTGTCCACCTCTTACCTGCACTTGATGAATTTAGGAACTAAGCATGGGAATATAAATATTTAATAGTAAATACCAAGCATGAAGGTAGCAAATACAGGCCAGAAATCCTGTAACATGAGAACTAGAATGACATCTAATTGCTCTTATACAGCAATCCCAATGTACATATAGAGGCCTCTTCTCTTCTAAAGAAAATTGATTGTTTCACCCTTCACACTACAAATTTGTACAAATCAGAACATAAAAGGCGCCCACCCCCTTATAGACAAGTTACCTAACAACAAATTGAGCTTAAAAATTTAAGACCAGCCATATCTTACAAAAATTCAGTTTGCAGACACAAAACACACACAAACAAGTACAAGGAAACAAACCCCACACAATCCATCTCATCATTCAATTCTAAACCACCCACAACTTGCAGGTAAAGGCTAGTGGAGATAAAGTCACTAACTTCACATCATTAAACTTGTACAATTGAATCATAATCTACTAAGAAATCCTCATTTGGCCAATTTAAAAGTTCTGAAACTTTCCAAGGAACCTAATGGATATTTGGTTAGTTGTTAGAAACCTACGATTCACAATTTGAATATTATGATTTGTCTGGATTCATGTGGTGAATCACAGATGTACAGATTTAACCGAATCATGCGATTCATTGAATTTTACAAGTCAAACAGCATGCAAGTAGCTAAACCCCTGTCCCTGACCCACTTAGCATTTGTGCAAGCCCCATAGAGCCAAGGGGAAATTCATTTTCAAAAGAAATAAAGGAAGAAGGATGCAAGAAAAAAAAAAAGCATATGATGCAAAACAAGCAAGAGTGTCAACTATTATATACAGTAGCATGCTCTTACTTGGCGATTTGTAGCAGTAACATGTTCTGCTGGTATTCGAATTTCAAGAGTGGGGCCCTTATGACTACTTTCACCATTTTTATCAGATTGAGATGATTCATACTCCTTCCATAACTTTATCAGCTCTTGCATGCATTCACCAACTTTATAAACAACAGAGGATACCTCAGATTTGCCTGAGCATCAGAAACTAAACTCAATAGCTATATAAAGGAAATTGGGTAACTTGTGAACTTTAATGTTATCTCGAGCTTTTTAATCATTCATCAGGAAGCAGTAATATGTTTGCCAAAAGAAGCAGTTCATGACAGCAAAGACCAGGAGTTGTTGACAAAAACTACTCATTCCTAGTGACAAATAAACTTAAAAAAAAAAAAAAAAAAACTAAGGAAACTACCTATTAACAGAAGCTCAAGAATATATTATACAGAAGCACAAAAGAAAAGAAGAAAGTGAAAATAAAAGGCAACACCTCATTCTGGTATATCCAATGCATTAAGAGAGTAGAAAAAGAAAGAAAGGAAAAGGAAAAGGAAAAGGAAAATTTAAATATGCAATGATAGCCAAATATTTCAGATTTAACATTCCAATCAGTAATCAGAAGGAGCTCCCTTCACTCAACTCCCCTGCAACCTGCTGCACGCTTACATAAAAGGAAAAACAAGATTCATACTGCAATACAGTTTTACAAAGCTGAAAATTCAGGTTAACCAAAAGTTTCCGCCCAAAAGAAATAAAAAGCAGCAATCAACCTTCAGATAACGCTGATTGTGAATAGAGAATCATTAGCAAATACAGTATAATATGTAGCAAAATGATGATGCTGATTGTAAGTGCCTCCTAATCCATCTTGCCTGAAGCCTTTGGTGGGAAAAACTAAATTGCAATTTAGCATTGTGCAGTCAAATATAATAACTAAACTCTTTCCATTATGCTAAAAGAAACCAACTCACAGACTCCATTAACCATATCGCGAATAAAGTTCCAGCTTCATAAAATGGAATAAAACAGCTTACCTTGACATCTGCAAGAAAGAGAAACTTAGTTATAATGCATTCAGACTAAGTTCCATAAAACTTTACTCTTGAATTGTTGAAGTGAAATCATGCTTAATTTAAACAATCTAAATGAGCCAACAATCTGAAGAATTCATGCAAAGAGAAGTTTAGTTAAGGGTTTCAACACTATTAAAAGTAATATTATATTCAGAAAGAAAATATAATTGTATGATAAATCTCTACACAATTAGCTCCAATAACAGCAGTTTGGACATGCATATCAGATATTTTAAAGCAAATTTCCACATGGTAGACAATTAGCTCCAACAACAGCAGTTTAGACATGCATTACAAATATTTTAAAGCAAATTTCCACATGGTAGTTGTCAATAATCCAAAATCAACCATATGGAAAACATACTTCCACTTAAAACAGTAACAACATACCCTTCAGTGTCCTGGGTATGGGACCTAAAACGGGGTTCACGATTTGCCACTTGTGAGCTACCCCTAGGCCGAAGCATCCTCTTACGCTGTTGGACTCCATAGTTAAAAACTTCTCTTTCTCTTTCACTAATCCTTTCCCCATCCACAAATCCATCATCAGATTCTTTGCCAAACATCCTGCTTCCCTTCTCAGGTCTATCTCCTTCTATGTCAGCTTCTCTTTCTTTCTTTCTATCTTTAGCTTCTCTATCAACATTTTTCCAGTTATCAAAATCTTTCTGTTTTTTAGGCTCTAAAACTGGATTTTCCTGTTCTGAGATTCTTACAGTTCCATCCGCAGATTCCTTTTCATTGTGCAAACTCTCTTTTTCAGCTCCAGCTCCTGATTCTCTCTTTAAGTGGTCCTTCTCCCTCTCTTTTAACCTTTCCCTGTCTTTTGACAGGTCCTTCCTCTCCCGCTCCCACCTCTCTGCTTCTCTCTCTTCCTTCACTGACTCCTTGCCCTCAGCACTACTGTTGCCTACTTGCATGTTTCCCCTTCGGTCGCTTCTTTCCTTATCTCTGTCTCCCCATTCCCGGTGCTTTAAATCTTTCCGCTTCCTATCCTTGTCTTTAAATCTTTCCTCACCTTTTGAATCAAGTTTATTTTCACCAACTGCCTCATGAGCTTCCACATGATCCCTCTCCTCAATGTTAGTGCTTTCCTTTCCTATCTCAGCTGGACCTTGGGAATTACCACGTGATATATGCCAAGGATCAACATGTCCACCTGGGGATTCCAAATATCTCTTTCCTCTATGGTATTCTTTGGATTCCTTCCAATTCACTTGACTACTTGCTGCACCAAAACCATCCTTTGGATCAATATGAGCCTCCCTGTCATGCTTTACTTCCTTATTGTCATCCCCTCTACTATCAAACCTCACATCCTTTTCATTTTTAACGCTTTGTGAATCCCTCTTTACCTCACCATACACCTCTCTTGCATCAGTCCTTGGGTCACGGTTTTCAATCCTGTGATCTCTGCTGTCCTTGGAATCCCTTGATTCAAGCCTGCTTTCAGGAGCAACATTAGAATGAGTATCCATGTGTGATTCATTTGAAGATGGCGACATTCGGTACATTGAATGCAAAGGTGATCTTCTATCTGCATCTCGAGACTCAGTTCTGGAAATCTTTGCCACCCGAGCATCTGGACCCATCTCATATGGTGGATGGTACTCATTTGAAACCCCAGATGTCAGCTTAGGGTTTGAACCTGTGTCCTCATGTGGAGGGTATTTTGAAGAAGAAGAATAAACACCCTCTTCATGCGATCTTTTAACAGGAGCACCACTCATACTCTAATTAACTGTTTAACAAAATCAGCAATCAACAAATGAAACAATAATCCGTTAATAATAGGTGAATTCCCCAACTACCACCCGTACTTAACTGTTATTTGAAAACAATAGAATCAAAACAAATCTAAATACAAAAAATATAGCTTTAAACTATTAAAAAGAAGAAGAAGCAAAATAGAGCCAATAGCACTCAGTTCAAACTGGTTTAAAAGCTTAAAACAATAAAACTATACATTAAGTTGCCAAATTTAAAAACTCAACTATCACAAGTAGCAATAGTTTATAACTTATACACTCTCATTAATTCAAGTGTGAAACTTCTCCTTTCTACACATAATGAGAGGAGAATAAATCAACAAAAGTTTCAAAATGAACCAACTGTCTCTCCTTCTCAGACTAAGAAATAAAATATTTAGGTTTTGAATCCTAAGTAGAGATATTTTTATGGAACCCAAATAACCTAGAAACATAAACCTAATAAATCCCTACAAAACATGAAACAAATTTGAAAATGGCAGGCAAAGAGAGAGGTTTTGTTTGTTTAGCTTTGCTGCTGTCCTCGCAATCTGAGCTGTTAACTGAATCAGTAATAATAATTAAGAAAAAAAAAGAAGCGATTTTGCCCAAATATGTGGAGCATTCACCAACTGCCACCCATTAAACAAGAATTAACCTTTATTGAAAATAATAGAACCCCTCCAAATCCAAGCATGAAAAGTATATCTTTAAGCCAAAAAACATAAAAAGATGGAGTCAAAATACTCGGTTCAGACTGCTTCAAATGCCTAAGACAACAAGTTGCAACTTCAAAGAGCATCCAGAAATGACAAAAGCTTCTAACTTCGGCATTGAAAATCATTACGCCATTCTTCAATCAAGAAAAATCTCACAATAAACCAACTTTCCCTCCCTATTTCACTACAAAGAACAAAAAAACTTGAAAAACCCAGATCAGCAATTTTTCATAGAAACACAAACCTTATAAATTCCTATACAACATTGAAAAAATTGAAAATGGCAAGACATAGGAAAACGTCTAAGTTGCTTACCTCTGTTATGGTCGTCGTCTCAATTCCTGTCGTTCTTTCTGTGTCTCTCTCTCTCACTTTTGCTGCGTTATTTATTCGAAGTGTAGTGTTAAAACACCTTATGAATCGTTTTCTCCTTATTATTTCTATTTTCTTCTGTTACTCTAAAAGCCTAAGCCAGCCTAAGCCTATTGGGCTGGGCCCACTCTGGTTTAGCATCTGTGTTAATGAGACTCCATCCATTTTTAGGGCTTGGTCCATTAGTAGTTGACCCAATAAAACAAAACCCTGCCAAAACCCACAGACAAAAGAACCAACCGAAGAAGAGAGGAAGAAGCAAAAATGTCAAGCAGGCGACTGAGGGCATTCAAGAGGTGGATGATATCCCAAGGCATTGAATGGAGCAATGACACTCTCCAATTTATCGATACCCCAGAAGAGGGAATCTCAGTGAAGGCATTGTGGGATTTGAAAGAAGGAGATTTGATTGCTAAAATACCAAAAACTGCTTGCCTTACTATTAAGACAAGTAGGGCTCAAGACTTGATTGAATCTACTGGTTTGGATGGTTATTTGGGACTATCAATGGCTCTAATGTATGAGAAGAGCTTAGGTGGGGACTCTCCTTGGGCTGGTTACCTTCAAGTCTTGCCTGACTGTGAGTGCTTGCCTTTGGTTTGGTCTCTTGATGAAGTTGATCTGCTCCTTCGTGGCACTGAGCTCCATAAGGTGAACTTCAAAGTAATTAATGGTTTGGTTTTTGGTTTGGGTTTACTCACTTTAGTTGCTCCCAAGTTCAAGTCTTTTTGTTTGCTTGTATCGGAAAAGATTTAATTTTTGTGAGATTGAATAATTATTCATGTTTTAATGATGGAGTTTTGGTTGTGAAGTTGATATGGCTAAAAAATTAGTAATTTATCGTGCACTTTGTAGGCAGATAAAATTGGAAAAAAAAAAATCAATTTGTCTACTATCTTCATGTGGGATTGGATGATTGTTTGTCTTTTTAAAGATGGGATTTCAACTGTGAATTTGATTGGCTTGAGATTTTCTGGCTTTTCATCATTTGGTGATCTTTTTGTAGGCAGATAGTGAAGGAAGACAAAGCTCTTATTTATGAGGATTGGAAAGAAAGCATACTGCCTCTTTTGGATTCGCTGCCATCAAATATTGATCCAAAATTTTTTAGTGTCGAGCAATATTTTGCTGCGAAGAGCTTGATTGCTTCTCGTTCTTTTGAGATTGATGATTATCATGGATTTGGAATGGTTCCTTTGGCAGACCTGTGAGTATGCATGCCATCTCTACGATGGTTAAAATTCTTGATATGTTATGCGGTTATGGTAGTCATTCTTTTTTCTTACTCCTGGTTGTAACTTCAAATCATGCAGCTTTAATCACAAGACTGGAGCTGAGGATGTGCACTTTACCAGTACATCATCTCATTCTGAATCTGATGATGACTCTGACAATAGTGATACCGTTGACTTAGATGCTGATAATATTGGCAACAAGGAACCATCAAGCGAGCTGGATTGCTCTTCAATTACTGGCGATGATCCCTTGGTGTTGGAAATGATTATGGTGAAAGATGTTAAAGCTGGAGTTGAGGTTTGTATCTAAATTTTATTCTTATGTCTTGTTGATGATCTCACAGCTAATGCATTTATATTGTTATTTTTCCTTTGAGACCACATAAATGTTTCTGCTTTAGAGAATCAACATGTTGACCTTTAGAACTACTTTGGAGCAGTCCTTATTGTTGAATTCTACTTTGGAATAGTCCTCATTGTTGAAGTCTAAGAGGATGTTTATCTGGGTTGCAGCTGGGGAAATTGAACTGTCTGGGGTACATTGTCATTTGATTATCTCTCCTTAACAGTTTGCGATATCATTCAAATTAGTAACATAATCCAGATCAGCAGTGTAGAAGGTGAAATAATTTCTACCTCTTTTAGCTCCATTGTTTCGAGTCATGGTTTGGCTGATTTCATAGGAGGTCTTTGTATATATGTTGTGCTTTCTTATTATTACCAGTGGCATCAGGAGTATTTATGAGCTGTCATGGTTTAATGCAATATCTGACCAGAGTCCTATTAGTTGAATTTCTTTGGATTTTGGAGTTCTTGAAGTTGCCTGTGTTCCTAGATGACCAGGTGTAGAGAACTTTTTAGCGTTGGTTGCTTCTACATCAACTTGGTATGTCCTTAATTAAGTCATCCTTAGTTTTCTACTTTGAAGTCTCACAGAAAACTTAATACAACAGGAACTATCTCTCATACTACCAATGATGTTTTTTCAGTTACCATTCTGTTGGCTCTTAGAGCTGATACTAGACCAATTGATCATGTATAGAGGAAGCGCATGAATTTGACAGCATGAGAAGGAAAATTTTAGTTTAAGGGGAAAATGACAAATTCAACTTATCTTTTCACTCTATCCCTAAGAATAAGTGAGTCGAATGAGTTTATTCATCTTGTTGAGCAGCTGCCTATGCTTTCTAGGTTTTTTAGTATTCATGGTTTATTCATCTATGTTGAGGGGTCCTTTAAAACCCTTTTAAAACCTTGCAACCTGAGGACAATACAAGTCAATGGAAAAACAGTGACAATGAGAATGTCTTTTAAATTATGTTTCTCACAGGAAATGGTTTTCAATAATTTTTACCCTGGTGCTTGGATTAGTTGGCAACCCTAATTATAGTGCTTTGTTGTCACATGAGGCATGCCGTTGTTTGTAACTGCAGATAAAGTGGTCCTTTGCTGTATTTTACCAATGACTGTTGGGTATCATACTGACACCTTGTGTAATGGTTAATCAAATTTCAAGTATTCATTTCTGTTTGCTTCAGGCTACCTTTGATGTAGAAAGATGCTTTCTCATATCATTCCCTCATTTTATGTTGTTTCTTTTTCTGTTCCATCTCAGGTCTTTAATACATATGGTTTGCTGGGTAACGCTGCATTGCTTCACAGATATGGGTTTACAGAGCCAGATAATTCCTTTGGCATTGTCAATATCGATTTGGAATTGGTACAAGAATGGAGTTCCTCATTATTCTCTAGCAGGTTTACTAGAGCTAGGTTATCCCTTTGGAGAAGATTGGAATCCAGAGGATGTGACAGCCAGAGTGCTGAATACTTTGAGATATCATCTAATGGGGAACCGCAAATTGAGTTGTTGATTTTATTGTATATAATATTGTTGCCAGAGGATACTTATCGCAAGTTGGATCTTGCAGTCTCAGCTGCAAATAACCACGAAGGATCCATTGACACAATTTTATCCGAAAAATGGAATATTACATGGGATAAAATCTCAGAAATGAGAGCAGACTTGTTGCTGACAGAAAGTGTATGCAATGCTCTTGTGTGGCTTGCTGATAAGAGGGAGAGTTTATATGGCTCAAGTTCAATAAAAGATGATATTGAAGCACTGGAAAAATGTTGTGCTAAAGAGAGAAAGCTATACCATTCGCTGATATTGCATGCGAGTGAAAGGAGGATTCTCGAGAAACTTAGAACCTATGCTGCTGTTGGTGCTCGTTCCCATTCCTCTTTAAAATCCATTCAGAGAGAACCCAAGAGGAAGAGATCTAAGAGGAGCTGAGGTGCAACTTTTTTTCCACTTTTATAGATGTCTGTCATGTATTCTTTGTTTCTTGTCCGCCTCCAAACAACTTTGGTGATGCTCCCTAGGAAAACTGAGGTGTTTTCTTTTATGAGCATCAGAGATAGTTCGGACATTAACACGATTATTGGCACTGGATGGCTGAAGCACTGAACGCGAGTTCTTACTTGAACACGTCCCATTTGCTGGATGATTGTACCATTAATTTCTTTCCAGATATCTGATCTGATTTTTTATCCGCCTTTTTTTGTATTTTCCTTGATCCTTATTGACATACAGTTCGATTGAAGTGAACTAATAGAACTTGTTTTTGGATTATGAAACTTCATATATATTTGGATCTTATTTTAGGACTGGTCATATCGAAATGTTTCAATTTGACTAAAATGGCCACTTCTTGCTAATTGTCTGGTCAGTCTGGTGCTCTCTCTAGTCTCTTTCCTTTCGTTTCTCTTCCTAATTACCTCATTTCAAATGCCAACGCTATTTTAGAGTTTATCTTGTGTGCTTTCCATATAATTTATTTAGTTTTGGATAAGAGCTAGCTAATAATCCAAGCTAGCGCAGGCGTTCGTTTGCAGGACTTAATTATATTAATAAGCTACAAGGTAATACATTATCGGATGTTTCTTATTCGATTTGTTGTTTCTTATGAATATAAAATGATCACCACATGCTAATCTAGCTTAATCTCTAAGCTAACACAATTCTATATGGTTTTGGTGTGTGGAGGGTTTTTAGCCAATCAAAGATTCATGTTTCAAGATAAATCAAATAATCACGAGCTTGATTCGCTCACAGTCTGTAAAACCGTTTGGACAAGTAGATTATGGCAAAAAAAAAAAAAAAGGGGGTCCTGTTTATATAGCAGAGAAACTGTCGTGAAGACAGGGTCAGAAGAAGGGTATTTTCATAGAGAACTGATGCGTGTTATATGGATATGGATACCCAACAAATATTGCATGATCAACCACAGTGCTATACATTCTAAAAAAACGTTCTAAAAAAGATGCTGATCTTCGTGCAAAACTTATTCGCCATATCAGATATGAAGTTTGAGAATTGATTTGAAGTTCTTTTCTAAAATTGAAACGCTCATGGGACAAGTCCTATATCTCCATTTGGCCCGAGGAACCATAGCTGCCTTTCCTTCATTTTCAGAATCCTTGTTGAGAAAGCGCCAGCAGCAGAAACCAGTCCTGAAAACTGGGTAAAAGTTAATGAATATGATTTACCCACCAACTTCACAGGAGAGCTGTTCCAAACGTTTAGGTGGAACAGTTAGAATCCAGACCTGATTCTAAGCAGAACTATTCTGAGTTCATTCCTGAAAGAGATAGCTCGGGACTTCCATTTTCCGTCAGGTTGCATTCTACATGATAGGCACTTGTAACTGTAATTAAAGAACCTGATTTTGGATTCCAGGAGCAATCTTGTTTGTCATTGAGTTCACTTGCAGTAGCAGAACAAAGCAGGACTTTTGGAAGACAC